TTTAATTTCTTTTGTGGATAGCTTCTACTTTCTACATAAAGTTTCTCATTATTGACTATCTGCTTCACAGACTCTCCCATTTTTATTCATTTCATCCCTTTGAAATTTCCTCTATGTCTCTCTAACTTGCCCTCTGACTTGCAGATTTCTTGAAAATCAGGTCCCCCTTTCAGATATTCGCCTAATACCATGCCACAGAAATTATTTGTTTTGAAGTCAAATGCTCATTCGCAGCCCAGGTTTTTTCACCTGGTAAGAAAAGAAGAAATACACGAAAATACTACCTCTCAGCAAACATTTTCTGTAAAGGGCTAGATGGTAAATATTTTAGGCTCTTCGGGCCGTACAGTTTCTGTTGCAAGTACTCAACTTGATTATAATGTGAAAGCAACCACAGACAATATGTCAATGAATGAATGTGTCTGCATTCTAATAAAACTTCATTTACGGACAATGAAATTTGAATTTCGTACAATTTTCATTTGTAACAAAATATTATCCTTCTTTTGATTCCCTTCAACCACCAAAAAAATTCAACCATTCTTATTTGCAGGCCATACACAGAAAGACAGGCAGGAGGCCAGATATGGGCATATGAGCCATGGCTTGCCTGAACTGATCAGCAAGTGAGATTAATATGCCCTATATTAGTACCCAGCTTTACATGCTTATAAAATGCCTTTAGAGCATGTAGGGAATGAGGTGATGCAAGGAAACGTCCTGAATCCCAAGAGGGAAGAGAAAGCTTTATCAGCATTTAGAAATTCAAAGAGAGTTTTCAGAGATGAAAAGGTAGCCAAGAAGGTAAGAAGAGTCAATAAAGGAAGGTCGTGGGCTATGGGAATGAGTGATAGTGTAAAAATCCTGAGAACAAACAGGGATGGGAAAATGAAATAGAGGGCTCAGACAGGACAGAAAACGAACAGGGAAAGAATTGGAAAAATAAAGTTAGGAGAGAATCTCTTTAATCAAGTGAAAAACAACAAAAAATATCAAGTAACTATATCAAATGTTATGGCATAAATGAGAAAAGTATGAGATTGTTCCTGCTATCAGGAAGCCTGTGATTGACTTGGGAGATATAAGTAATATACGTAAAATAGTTAGAGAACATAGCATTGGATTTGGAGAACACAGAACTAACTTCCCACCCAAAATAACTTTACCCACGAATCATGATGCCACCAAGTCTTTGCCGCTCCAGACTGACTATGAGTCAGTATTTCCCTAGATGTAGCCCTTACATCCTCTGCATCAGAACCACCTGTAATACTCTGTTAAACATGCAGATTCCTCGGCTACACAATGGATAGGGTTGGGCCAACAGTAAGCGTTTTAACAAAGTCTCAGGTGAGATGTATGCACACCACCATTTAAAAAGAGCTGCTCGGCCGGGCTCGGTGGCTCACGCCTGTAATCCTAGCTCTCTGGGAGGCCGAGGCGGGCAGATTGTTTGAGCTCAGGAGTTCGAAACCAGCCTGAGCAAGAGCGAGACCCCATCTCTACTAAAAATAGAAAGAAATAAATTGGACAACTAAAAATATATAGAAAATATTAGCCGGGCATGGTGGCGCATGCCAGCTACTCGGGAGGCTGAGGCAGGAGGATCGCTTGAGCCCAGGAGTTTGAGGTTGCTGTGAGCTAGGATGACGCCACGGCCCTCTAGCCCGGGCAACACAGTGAGACTCTGTCTCAAAAAAAAAAAGAGCTGCTCTAGGAGAATGGACTCAGATTTACTTCACCAGATATAAGTTACTCCCTGAAGGGTTAGTAAGTCATAAGCCTACTGAAATAATGATCTATGAATTTCTAGAGGATCACTTTTCACTCTTGTGAAAAGCCTCAGAAATGCAATAGAAGTTCTCTCAAAACAAAGACTGGATGTGGTAGAGGGAGGCAAGAAGCAAGTATCCCTGCACTCACCACCATGGATGCCCCTCATACCCTCTCTGGACAAAGCACCCTGAAGATCTCAGCCCCAAGGCTCTTCCCCTTGCTCCAGATGAGAACAACAGCAAGTCTTGAAAATGGACACTCTGCCAGGGATTAAGGACAAACAAACCAGGGAGAAAGAGGATGCAGCTAGAGCCCTTTATAAGATAAGCAGACCCACACAGGCTGAAATTAACATGAGCAAAGGCAATAACTAGTAATTACTGAGCGTGTATCAGGTGCCAAATATATGGATTACCTTGCTTGTTGGATGAGGCAGGCACTACTGCTATCTCAATTTTATACATAAGAAACATGACACAAAGCCACATAGCTAATAACCAGCACTCTGGCTCCCAAGAGTGTGCTCTTAAGCACTCTGCCTCCGAGATGCAGTGCTGAATAGACCTGTGCTGCTTTCTTAACAGCAAACTTCACAAGAGCAAACTAAACTCAAAAGCAAGAGGAGAGAAGGAAATAATAAATTTTAGAGAGGAATAAAAATAAAATAGAGACCAGGAAAACACTAGAGAAAATAAAACCAAAAGTTGGTTATTTGAAATGATCAACGATATTGAGAAAGTTTTATCTAGGGTTACCAAAAAAAAAAAAAAAGAAAGATGACTCAGATTATTAAAACCAAAAATGAAAGACGGAACATTACTAAAGAGTAAAAAATTGTGACAAGATGATATGAATAACTGTATACCAAGAAATAGATAACTTAGATGAAATGAACCAGTTCCTAGAAAGATAAAAGCTACCTTAAGTGACTGGAAAATCAGAATAGACCTTCAAGAAAGAAATTGAATAAGTAATTTTAAACTTCCCATAGATAAAATCCCAGGTTCACATGGCTTCACTGTGAATTCTATAGAATATTTAAAGATTAATACTAATTGTTGACAAACTCTTTCAAAAATATAAGAAGAGGAGCCAGGAGAAGTGGCTCATGCCTGTAATCCCAGCACATTGGAAGGCAGAGGCTGAGGCTGGAGGATTGGTTGGGGCCACGAGTTCGAGACCAGCCTGGGTAACATAGTGAGATCTCATCTCTACAAAGCATTTTTTAAAAATTAGCCAGGCATGATTGTGTACACCTGCAGTCCCAGCTACTCAGGAGGCTGAGGTGGGAGGATCACTTGAGCCCAGGAGTTCAAGGCTGCAGCAGTGATCTATGATCGCAACACTACACTTTAGCCTGGGTGACCAAGACCCTGTCTCTCTTAAAACAAACAAACAAACAAAAATACAAGAAGAAGGAATACTTCCCAACTCATTCTATGAGGCCAATTATTACCCTGATACCAAAATCAGATAAAAATACCACAAGAAAACTACAAACTAATATATCTTAGGACTATAAAGGGAAAAAATCCTGAAAATAACACTAGCAACATGCAAAAAGGACTGTACGCCATCATCATTTGTGAATTAGTCAAGGAATGCAAAGTGGGGTTCAACACACAAAAATAAATGTAGTATAGCATATTACATAGGATAAGGGACAAGAACCACATGGCTACCTTAATAGTCACAGAACATCATTTCACAAACCCTAACACCATTTCATGAGAACAACTCAACAAATTAGGAACTTCCACCACCTTATAAAGAGTATTTATAAGAAAACCACAGCTAACATCATACTTAATGGTAAAGAACCAAATGCTTTCCCCCTAAGATCAGGAATAAAAATGTCTACTCTTGCAACTTTTATTCAACATTGTGCTGAAAGTTCTAGCCAGGGTAATTAGGCAAGAAAAAAATAATAAAAGTCGTTTAAATTAGAAAGGGAAGAAGTAAAACTGTCCCTATTTGCAGATGACATAATTTTGTTTATAGAAAATACGAAGGAACTCCATCAAAATTTAAAACTTTGTACTTCAAAGGACATTAAGAAAGTGAAAAGACAATCCATAAAATGGGATGAAATATTTGCAAATCATGTATCTGATAAGGATTCAGGATCCAGAATGTGTTAGAATTCTTACAACACAAAAATAAAAGGACAAGTAACCCAATTCAAAAATGTGCAGAGTTTTAACAGACATTTCTTCCAAAGATCATACACAAATGCCCAATAAACCCGTGAAAAGATGCTCAACATCATTAGTCATTAAAGAAATGCAAATCAAAACCGCAATGAGATATCACTTCACACCACTAGGATGGCTATAATCAAAAAGATAGACAATAGTAAGTGCTGGTGAGGATGTGGACAATCTGAAAAATTTAAACGGGTCAGCCACTTTAGAAAAGTTTCGGCATTCCTCAAAACGTTAAACAAGGAGTTACCATATGACCCAGGAAGGATATATCTAGAGTATATACCCATGAGAAACAAAAACACACGTCTGCACTAAAACTTGTACGTTAATGCTCACGACACCATTATTTATAATGTGCAAGCACTACAAACAAAATGTGGTATTATCCACTCAACAGATACTATCCACACATAAAAAAGAATGAAGTACTGATACATGTTACAAAATGGATGAACCCCGAAAACACTACGTTAAGCGAAAGCCAGTTGCGGAAGACTACATATCATATGACGGCATTAATGTCCCACATCCACAGTAGGCAAAATCATAGAAATAGAAAGTAGGTAGGTTGTTGCCTAAAACTGAGATGTGGGAGGGGGGATGGAGACTGACTGCTGATGGATATCGGTTTCTTTTGGGGATAACAAAAACATCTAAAAGTAGATCGTGGTGATGCTTGCACAACTCCGTGAATATTCTAAATACCACCACACTGTATACTTCGTACGGGTAAGCTGTATGGTCTATGAATTATATCTCCATAAAGCTGCTTAAAAAAGACTTGAGAGCCTGCTTTGTACATCAAAATGAGGAATTTTAATGAACTGAAAAACATTAAATCAATAGAAATTGAATAGTCTACACAAAAAGATAATGTGCATTTGACAGCATTTAAGGTGGCTCTTAAATCCACTCCTTACTTGGAAAACTGATATTTAAAGGTCAAGCATTAAGCCTTTGTTCTGTCTTCCCAGCATTGATGATTTGGAGGAATTTTTAATTTTCATTGCACAGGACATTATTTTAGCCAAATAAGTAAATCTTCTTAGTTTTGAGATGTTTTCTAAAGGAGAAGAAAATCATAATAACTGTAAGCTATCTTGAAATATTTCAATATAAAAATTTAATATATTAAGTCTCATAAAAAGCAAAAATAAATCTTTCCATTTGTTCTACTGGTTAGTGGGCAAGAATATTGCACTGAGTTTATCAATCTTGTAAAACTGGGGGAACTGGAAAAAAACTGATCACACATAACCAGTAAAGTATTTAGAAAAAATTTTCTACATATCCCCAAGGGTTAAAAGCATCCCAGGGTGTGAAATACTGAAGCAGGGTGTTGGGCACTACAGTTTAAAGGGATGGAAAGCAAGGAATAACAGACTAGTCAGGAAAGACTGTACTCAAGGATCCCAATGTACTCCACAATGCTGGGCACAGAGAACACACGCCTTTCACTTAGATGAAATGAAGGCAAAGGGAAGAGATAAAGCTGGAGAAGACTCCCTGACCCCCGCCCCCCACCTGCTTAATTCACTTGGGAGCCCTGCTCTCTGACATTGCCATTTGGGGTCAGCTAATAATTATAAGAGGGCCATTTAACTTCTGAGGGCCCGGGCAGAACCCAGCAGCACAGAGGCCTTACCTAGGAGTGCCACAGCCTCAGAGTTCTCCAGCATCACATCGCTGTACAAGGCCCTCTGAGCAGGCATCAGGCTGGTCCATTCCTTCTCAGTGAAGTACATGGCCACGTCCTCAAAAGTCACTGATTCCTGAAACGACAAGTTCCTGCTCTCACAGACCTTAGGACTTTGGTGATGGTCAAAACTGTCAATGAGAGGCCTGGGAAAGGCACTTACAATGATATATATTCAGTACTGGGTCCTTTATGTGCCTGAGGGGCTTTTCTGTGAAATTTAGAAGGTGTAGAAGAAGAGGATGCAGAATTAAAGGTAACCAGTCAGAATTTAGCATATTTTCCCAGTTAAAACCAAGTACATCTCCACTATGAGCCTCTAAACATGTGACCACAAAGACACTGAACCTGCTGTATAGGTGGGCTTAGGCCTGAGCATACAAGACACATATGGAAGGAAACTGACCCCCGAACACGGGTTTGCACCTTAGCTCTAAGCCCATCCCCACTTTGTATATATCCCAGTGATTGCTTGGGTCACTCATATTACCGTCACTTCCCAACTCTGTTTTCATCTCAGTCCTTCTTTCATGCTTGTCTCCTTGCCCACTACCCCAAGCACAAAGCTCTCAGATCTGTCAATGAACTCCCACTCCCACCCCACCTTCGTGCGCAAGTAGTGAGGTTAGAGGGACGCAGGAAAATACTACGTACCTGGGAAAGCCTAAGTTTAGAACAACTTGGTACAGAGACTCAAGACAGGCCTAAAAAAGGGCGACCATGGACAATTTTGAATCTCTGGAGTTTAGCTCCGTATTTCAGAAACAGAGCTCTGGAGAAAATGGTCTTAACCTGGAGTATGTAACTAAGGCAACCTATGAGCCAGGTACCAAAGAAAGTTTTGTCAATTATCTTTTTGATATACTTTAAAACTACCTTGGAGGAAAGCCCTCCATGTTATATTATTTCACAAAAATATTTTACTCCCCTGCACAGTGAGTGTCAAGGGATATTGGTTCAAAGACAGAAAATTAGACCAATGGAACTGAATAGGGAGTTTAAAAACAGGCACAGACATATATAGTCACCAAATTTATGACTGTCTTTTACCAACTAGTGTCTTTTACCCACTAGTGCAAGTCAGTGGGTAAAAGACAGACTTTTCAATAAAGGGTCCCAAATCAAACGGATAACTGTATTGGCGTGGGGTGGGGTAGGGGGAGAACTTTGATCCGTATCTCGCACCCTTAATTTGAGATGAATCATAGACCTAAGTAGAAAGCTAAAACAAAAAATATTCAAAGAATATCTTCATGACCTTTGAATAAGAAAACAAATCCATATACTGGACTTCCTTAAAAACAAGAAAATCTGTTTATCAAAGGACAGCATTAAGAGAGTGAAAAGGCTGTCCTCTCCATTTACTTCGGAAAAAAGAAAGAGTGAAAAAGCAAGCCGTTGACTATAATACAGATGTTTGACAAAGGACTTACATCTATGATAAAGAACCACTACCACTTGAGGGGGCGGGAATAAAGGCACACAGACTAGGAAAAATGTCTGAACGGGGACTTCACATGAAAGGATATCCACATAGCCAACGAACATGAAATGGCGGTCAGCATCACTGCTTACTGGAGAGGAGGAAATTTTTAAAACCCCAATGACATACTATGAACAAATGACAAATGTTGGTAAGGACGTAGAGTAACTAAGTACATAGTGCTGGTAGAGTACAAATTCGAAGAACCATTTTGGAAAATGGTTGGGCAGCATCGACTAAAACTAACCCGATGTATACCTTACGATCTAGCAATTTCACTCCCAGAGATATACTCAAGAAAATGAGTGGCCGGGCGCGGTGGCTCACGCCTGTAATCCTAGCTCTCTGGGAGGCTGAGGCGGGCGGATTGTTTGAGCTCAGGAGTTCGAGACCAGCCTGAGCAAGAGCGAGACCCCGTGTCTACTATAAATTAGAAAGAAATTAATTGGACAACTAAAAATATATAGAAAAAATTAGCCGGGCATGGTGGCGCATGCCTGTAGTCCCAGCTACTCGGGAGGCTGAGGCAGGAGGATCGCTTGAGCCCAGGAGTTGGAGGTTGCTGTGAGCTAGGATGACGCCACGGCACTCTAGCCCGGGCAACAGAGTGAGACTCTGTCTCAAAAAAAAGGAAATGAGTGCCTATGTCCACCCAAAGATAAGAATGTTCACTGCATTCTTATTCACTGTACCCCCAAACAGGAAACAACCAGAAGTTCATCTACAGTAGAATAAATAAAAAAAATATGGTATGACCATATAATGGAAAACTATTCCAGCAATGAAAAAGAACAAACTACTGCTACGTGCAACATGAGTGAAGTTCACAGACGTAATACTGAGCAAAATAAGATAGATACAAAGGAGTACATGTTAAAGGATTCCGTTTATATGACATTCAAGAACAAAACTAATCTGTGGTGATAGAAGTTAGAACAGCGGTTAACTCTGGGGTGGTGCGCTGCTTGGGAGGGGTCGTGAAGAGACCTTTTGTTGTGCTAATCTACGTCTTGATATGAACGATGGTCATACAGGCGTATACGTTTCTAAAAAGTGAGCAATACAGTTAGGGTCTGTGTATAAGTTAAACCTAAATGAGGAATTTACACATATATACATGCATACATAAAAGTTTGTTTTATATGTTTATGTACATGCATATATGTGTGTGTGTATATACATATACACACCTTTGTATAAAATATATATGCATAAACACACGTGTATATGTACAGGGGAACAGGAAACTCAGCTCACCTGGGGCCTGGTTGCTACGGATTCAGCTGCCATCATCCGGCCTCTTTTATTCCCGTCTTTGGTAAACGTAAAAGTTTCAGGAGCTGAAGGTAAAGAAGGGAAATGCAAATCAAAACCACGATGAGATATCACTTATCTCCAGTGAGAATGGCCTTTATCAAAAAGTCCCAAAACAATAAATGTTGGCGTGGATGCGGAGAGACGGGAACACTCCTACACTGCTGGTGGGACTGCAAACTAGTACAACCTCTGTGGAAAGCAATATGGAGATACCTCAAAGAGCTATAGGTAGAACCACCATTTGATCCAGCAATCCCATTACTGGGCACCTACCCACAAGAACAAAAGACATTCTATAAAAAAAGACATCTGCACTCGAATGTTTATAGCGGCACAATTCACAATTGCAAAGATGTGGAAATAACCCAAGTGCCCATCAATACATGTGTGGATTAATAAATTGTGGTATATGTATACCATGGAGTACTATTCAGCCACAAAAAACAATGGTGATACAGCATCTCTTATATTATCCCAGATAGAACTGGAGCCCATTCTACTAAGTGAAGGATCCCAAGAATGGAAAAATAAGCACCACATGTACTCACCATCAAATTGGTTTTAACTGATCAACACCTAAGTGCACATACAGCAGTAACATTCATCGGGTGTCAGGCAGATGGGAGCGGGGAGGAGGGGATGGGTATATACACACACAATGAGTGCGATGTGCACTGTCTGGGGAATGGACACGATTGAAGCTCTGACTCGGGTGGGGCAAGGGCAATATATGTAACCTGAACATCTGTACCCCCATAATATGCTGAAATACAAAAAAAAAAAAAAAAAGAAATATTAGTGACAGTAACCCTATTGACAGTAACTCCATAATTCATACACCCAACCTCTGGCCCAACCCGATTTGAAGGCTATGTAAACTATGCTTCATTAGTTATTGCTTGTTATCGGGGACAATTCTTGTCTCACAGAGGCGAGACGGCAGGCATACGGGGGAATGAAGAAAGGAAGCAGAAATCACCCAAGGAATGTGTGATGAGAAAATTGACTGAGAAAACTGTAATTTTCAGTAATCCAGAGAAAACATAATAAGAAAGAAGGATAAAAAGGAAACTAGGGTAGACAGTGGACAGAATGTTATGGGCTGAAAAGAAAGCTGTAATTCCAAACAGTTAAGATCCCCAGAATCCACACAGAAACGATAGGAATGAGTTGTGTACAAGAAATCCATCAAACGTTGTCAGATCTCAGCATCTGTTTTTCCTCCTATGCTTCTTAATATTAGGACGGTTTCCATGACTGAAGAAACAAAAGTCAAACAATTTGAAAATAGTCTGTCAGGAATATTTTGAAGACTCCCTACTACCATTTTCCCCCTAAATACAACCTATTCATTTAATTTTATCACAGTCTTGGACGGGGGGGTGGTGAGAAGAAAAACACTACCATATTAAAGCAATCCGTCAACCTCATGACATGTCCCAAATACTCCAAGTTCCAAATATTATAGTATGGGGAAGCACAGCAATTTCATTTCTAGACTAGCTCCAACTCCCATTCTGGGTCAGTTAATTAGTTCATCATTAGGAAGTAAGCCGTCTGCCGTTCAAAAGAGTGAATCATCAATATTCATGCACTAAAGACAACACCTAAAATACAAATAGCAGCCATCAGTTAGATCAGAGATACTTAACAAGCATATAAACAAACACATAAAAGTGCACGTACTCACAGACCTTAAAAACAACTTCCATTTCAACTTCCTATCTGTAGTTTGCCCTAAGTCTCAGGGTACTACAACAGCATCAGACAAAAAACTTCAGAGTCGGTGCTGCTCCTCCCTCCACTGACCCTTTGTAGTGAATCCAGAAAGCCATTCAGGAAGGTAGGGGAAACTGAAGCTGTCAGGGAAACAGCTGTTAGGAGAGGCTAGAAAACACACCTTGGAAGTTACAAGGAGTACAGTAAGGAGAAAGAGTAGTTATAAGCATAAACAGTAGTACTTTAAAAGAAAACACAAGGTAAACCTACACAAGTAATGCCACTGAACTCATGAATGGTTTCTGTCCAAGGGTAACAAAAGCAGTGATTCACGCTGAGTAAACAGGTAACCCCTGCAGTTGTGTACTCCAATTCTCTACAGTCATGATACTGTCACCGTATCTGTAATAAATGTCCCTCACAGGGGATACTTCATAGGATTAACGTATCAAGCAAAAGGACTTAAGCCAAAAGGTCTGATCGTACGGTGGACAATCTGTGAATGGCAAATCCTCTGAAGTAGAACTGCAGCAGAGGCCACCATACAAAACACAAAACTCCCCCTCTTACTTTCCTGTGGGGAAAACCACATGGAGTTGAAACATAAACAACAAGCCGGGGTGGAGAGCAAATCACAACCCAACACACTTCACTAACAGCAGGGACCAAATGTTCAATCTGACTGATTATGAACTCTGACAATTAGGTTAGGACAACTGAGTAAAAGTTAAGAGAGTGTAATCAGAAGAGTATAATGAAAGATGTGAAGAAAACTAGGTCAAGAAATCTTTCCATATCTCCAACACTGTACATAGGAAACTATGTTAAACTCTGGACACATATTAGGTGCCTGACGGATACGGCTCATGAAACTTTAGATTTAACATTCATATGAGCCGTCCAAATCCCAGGGCTCCACGTTCTCCAGTATGTGAGCTAAGCAGGCTCTATCTTGAGGGCGACGGAGGAGAAACATTCCAGCATCTTCAAAATTTTGGCTGGTCTACGACAATAATCAAGCTTCCAGATTGGGTGTACACCATGCCAGGTGAATAAAGTGATCACAGACCAACTGCCTGAAGCCCAGTGAAAAGGGAAAAACTGTACACAAGCCAAGGGGTAGGGCTGGCCCTTCCTCGAGCAGGACAAAGACGAGGGTCACAGCAACCAACGGGCATGTTCTGTTGCCAGTGTCCTGCAGCGTGGACAGTTAAAACTTTTCGAGGGCCTCGATGTTAACACTTGCATCTGTGTCACTAACAGAATCTTAATAGGCCCCGCGCGGGCCGCCCAGGGTACCGGGAAACGAGGCGGCGGGAGCCTACCGCCAACCACCTAAGCCAGCCGCGCCCGGAGGTCTGGAAGAGCACCCCAGTAGCCACGGTGGCCGCGCCCGCCTCCCTTAGGGCCCGTCCCGTCCTTCTCAGGTCAAGCCAGACCCGCTTACCGTGGGCTCCCGGCGGCCTCCGCAGCTTTTCGGCAAGCAGAGGTTGCCGGCACTACACACCGCTCCTCACACACCCAACCCTCACGCGTTGAAAATGGCGGTGGCGGAAGTACAATGGTAGCACGGGAATCACGTTATCACGCTGACTGGCCAACCGTACGCGCCCTGCGATTCTCTCTAGGAATCTTGGAGGACCCCTCAATCTTGGTTGTTCCCTCCTTCTAGTTCCCGCGAGACAAAAGCCTGAGTGGAAAAGAGAGGGCCGAGGAGTTAGGTGCCTCCCTTCTTCCCAGAGCCTTATTCTGAGTTGAGGCGCCTTGCTCATGACATTGCAACATCACGCCACCTATGAATACTGGCTTTCGATGACTTTGTATCAAAGTTTGTGACAGTAACTGCAAATGCAAGGCTTACCCAAAACGTGCAGGAAAATGTGAATGGTAGTACGTTTTCTGGTCTTGTTAAAGTTGCCATTTGGAATATTATAGCATAATCAGTGAATCACACACTGTACAACCAGGACTTCTCTGCAGTAATCACTGCATTCCTGGAATGGGATAACTTTCAATGTTGCTCACACGCTTCCCTTCCATACCTTACCGCCAGCACAGAGGGTAAGCAATGGGCCCATGGGCAGAATGAGAAGAGCAGTTCAATTCCCCCAAGAAATACCCATCCCTCATCCGGCAGAGCTTAAGGCCGTCCCAGGACAGCGTGGCCTCACTGTATTAATCAGAGGTAAGAGAGGATATCTACCAGAAAAGTGTGTTGAAAGCCCTCAGAGGAGATAGTGGTGGCCATCCCCAGAGAACTTCCTGACATATTGCACCAAAGCCTGTGGAAGTGGGTAGAGCGACTAGCCTGATGCCAACAGTGAGGAGTGAAGAAGATAAAGGACATTTGCTGCCACTTCCGTCGTCCTTGCATGCTGTAGACCACAGGCAGTATTGCGGTAGGAGCACAAATGAGCAAGAGCTGACACAGGGACCCCTCACGTCTCAGAGACACAGTGCCTACCTAAGACTAAAGCTGAATCACAACAGAAAATGTTATCCCGCTCACCATCATCAGAATATCAAATGTTGAGTAACAAATAATAGCAATCTACTGCTAGAGGAAAGATAATGACATGGGGAGAGACCTTCTCTGAGGCACAGGAATAAAGGGAAGGCCTAAAGGTGAGCGTGGTGCAAACACAGAAAATCCCTGTTAGCCAACCAGTCCACACACTAAACACAAGGTAATACTAGAAGAACCGGAAGCCTGTGGGTAAGCACAGCAACAGAAACCTAAACACAGCTCAACTCCTGATTAGATTGACTCAACTCTCCATGATAAAGATCTCCCAAAAGAAAAAAATATGCCCATTTCATTTTTGCCTCAGTCTCTATTGTACTACACAAGATTTTGGGCTTTCAACAACAAAAAAAAAGATTACAAGGCATACAAAAAAGAGGCAAGAAAAAATAAATGATGTTGTGTTGACGATGGCTGGGAATCATAGGAGGAGTTGATGGCTGTAGGTTAGCACTGTGTGTGTTTCTTAAGGAAGAGGGTGCGTGAAAAAGGAAAGAAGACTCAGGAGCCGAGACTCCTAGAAATAGGGAAAAAGGGGACATCGAAGTTGGAATGTGGAGAAGAAAGGGAGGTGGGATGTTTTAGAGCGTGTTGAGGGTGGAGGAGTGTAGGGAGTAGAGTCACAGTTAGGATCTGTCCTGTCGGGTAGTCTCAGTGGTAACCGGAGTGTTCCGAGGAGCCCTTAGCTGCCTCTTTGGCTGGTGGCAGTGACTGGGAGGGAGAGAAGAGGAAGAGTCAGTGTGGCGTGATAGGCAGAGCCAGAGCCGTAAGCAGGCCTGGGTTCTGTCTCAGCTCTGGGACTCTGGGGGAAGTTAATCTCCCTGAGCCTTGACTTCGCCTTCTCTAAAATGGATCTAACACCCTCCTTGTAGGCTATGAGACATAAAGTAATATATATATAAAGTGCTTGGCACAGGCTCAAAAAATGATAGCTGTTATCAAGGGCGATAGACCTCTGAAGGAGGACACATTGTAGAGAAAGTCCTGGACCTAGAGCACAGATGGTGGTTTTGGGTATAGGGACGAACAGCAAAAACTTTTGCAGAGACTCATGAAAAAGATGAGAGGATGTTTGCTGAAATAAAGATGAAGAGACATGAGAAAATTGATGGCTGATCCCTTGTACGTTTGCAAGTAGGGGGCAAAAATGTGCCAATAGAGTTCCCTTAGACATTGAGAATGCAGAATCCCAACAGGCATCCTGCCAGTACTTCTGGGTGCCCTGTCTAGCACTCAGCCCAGGCCTGGGTCCTGGGATTGTCCTGGGGCATATAAACACGTGTTGTTTCAGGAGTCAGTGACCTTCGAGGATGTGGCCGTGTACTTCTCTGAGAACGAATGGATCGGCCTGGGCCCTGCTCAGAGGGCCCTGTACAGGGACGTGATGCTGGAGAATTATGGGGCTGTGGCTTCCCTGGGTAAGGGTCTCTCTCTTTGGGCTCTGGCTCTGCCCTTCTCAAAGGCTCAGGAGTCTTTGATAATCCTCAGCTCAGTGGCAGCTTCCGGCTCTTGGATTGTTAATGACCCAACCTCAGCAGTTGCTAGAAGTCGGAAGTCCTGGTATCAGTTTGGGCCTCACAGGAAGTCCCTTGCCCCAGGGCGAGAGCTGCCCAAACCCTCACCCCTGTGCTGTGCGTATAGGGGGAAAGAGCAGATCCACGGTGCCCCAGTGAGCCTTCAGTTCCCCACCCCCCTCAGTTTGGGAGATCCAGCCTAATACCAAGCATCCACAGGCAGATGTCTGAACTTGAGGGCTGAAAGAAGGAGAGGACAAGAAAGCATTGAGGACTCAGTTCCTCAATGAATGAATCATCTGTTCGCTGACTCACACTGTTATTGAGTAACTTTTTCAACTTCCTGACTTTTGTAAGTCTCCTGGCCCCTCTCCCTGGTGTCTCCTTCCTTCCCCCTGGACTTCCTTTTCTTCTTCTCACCAGCGATTCTCTATTTCCCCTCCTGCCCCTGAAGACACAGGCCTGGGAGGAGCCCTGGGATTGTTTTGTGTCACCCCACTCACCTGCCTGTCCCATTTCCTTCTCCTCAAGCAGCATTTCCATTTCCCAAACCGGCTCTGATTTCCCAGCTGGAGCGAGGGGAAGCACCCTGGTGCTCAGCCCCTCAGGGAGCTCTGGATGGAGAGAGCCCCAGGGGCATCTCCTCAGGTGAGTGAGGACACCTGTGCCAGTCATCTGGCCAGTTCCTTTGTCTTGATCTTTGGAATGTCATAGATATGTGTTCTCTTAACGTCGTACTGTGGACACTAGTGGGATTCCCTGTTTTCGCTGTATTCCCATAGTTTTCCATGCGCTTGAGTCCTGGTTGTGTTTTCCTTGGCTCCTCTGTGTGCCGTCTTCTTTCACCTGTTTTGCCTCTTCCCTATCTCTGCTGCTCTTATCGTGGCCACCATTTATCTTTGCTCCCTGATTTTCCTGTTTACTCTCTGATACGGGGTTCCCTTTCTGCTTTCCCGGCCTGCTTATAGTCTTCCATCTTGGGATGTAATGGCCATATTTATCATTAGAAATCAAGAAATCTCAATAACCCCCAGCCAGATAGTCCCTATTACTCAGGAATTGCTGATGGGGAAAGCCCGGGGATAACTTTAAGGCCAACAGAGGGCTTTCTTCCTCTTAGTTTCCTAGTGAGAACTGTATCTCTCTGTTGCCTCTCTGGCCCCATTCCATCTTCCTTGCACAGTCTCCTGTGAACACGGTGAGACTTGAGCTGTGCCATAATCTCCCCATTCTCACAGTTCCTTGCTATGTCTGGCAGTCTTTTTATATTAGGATATTCTTGATTGCAAGTATTAAAACCCAGTTCAAACTGGCTTAAACAATAAAGAGGAATTTATTGTTTCATGTACCTGGGTAGTCTGTAAGTAGAGTGGGCTGCAAGTATAGTTTGATCAGATTTCAGTTTATGCTCTGTCTCCCTGTATGTTGGCTTTGTCCACAGTCTGGCTCCTTTTGTGGTTGTAAGGTGATTTGTATTATTAGTCGTAACCAGGACTCTGCTTCTGCCTACCTAGGGAAAGGAACAGGGCAGGTCTTCCTTAGGCTTTAACCATTATGAATCGAAGTCCCAAGTATTGCTCTATTGGACCACCTTAAGTCATATGCCAGCTTTAAGTCAGTCACTGTGGCCAGGGAAATACTACTGTACACTGATTGACTTCATCTGAATTGCTGATCCCTGGATCAACTTCCTATGTAAAGAGTAGGATGGGATTAACCTGCTTGGCCTAGACTTGCCAGCACCCGCCCTATGGAATGGGAATTGGGATAAGCCCTGCTTCACCCTCCATGAAGTTCCCACGGTGGGGAGGGGTAGAATGGAGGTAGGAGACAACCACAGTGTCCTCTGCATTCTCTCAGGATCTCAGTGCTTCCTCTCCTCACGACCCAAGGGAATTTCCCATCTTTGCTTTGCTTTTGGCAAAAAACCAACAGCTAAGTTATTCCTTGAACAAAATTATTAACTCCCTGACCGGCAACAGACTTCCATGGCGCAGTCCTGTCCCTACTCAAAGTCTCCTTTTGTCTTAGAGAAGATAATACTCAGGAGACACACAGTCGCTGGCTTTGGCAACATAAAAGGTTGTCATTTGAAGGCGCAGAATTGATCTGTTTCTTAGGATGTTTTGGATGGGAGTTACAGAGAGACAGATCATAGTTAAGCCTGAAATAAAGTTTATTAGAGTGGATGTTAGTGGATAGAGGTGTCTATTACAGGGTAAAAAGAAATTTCTGGAAATGGCTGAGTGAGGCTGTGAGGGCATTTCTTATGGATGCCATAGAGTGACCTATCACTGATTCTTTGTGGAATGACAGGCGATAAATAGATGGATAGAAAGGATGACAGCTAAGAGGTTATGGTTTCCCAGAACAGCCTGCCTAGACAGGAAGACCTCAGGAATAGCTCTTTGCAATTTCATCCTATCCTGATTCTTTTCTGTCTGAATTTGCTTTCACCTTCTGTTATAGGTACGGAGGAGGCTTTAGTCTTTCCTATTCTTCTTGACATTTTAAAATGAATGGTATTTTTTGTATCTTTGGGAACTGATGGAATCACAGCTTCCCTGTACCAGTATTTCTATCCTTCATATTCTTATCCCCTCAAACTTCCGGTTATCTGTGTTGCCAATCTTTTCACCCACCTTCATTCTCCCACTATCACTTCCACCTCTGCTCCTTTCCTAGTGGGCCTCACTCCTCGGATTGAGTGAGCCTTCTCTGTATCTTGACCCCGGCAGGGTTTCCGTTTCTAACGCTTGCTGGGATCTTCCATCTCGAGCAGGCAGAAGAGCTGTTGAACCTGAAACTGCAAGGAGAGCGTCCAAGCCTACTTTGTACAGGTAAGTGAGAGGGAAATGAGCATTTTCCTCCCAGTACACATTTTGCTGTCTTTCCTTTATAAAATGTTAAAAAGCATTTTGCCATTCATGTTCTAAACAAATGAACCTCCCAAACCCCCAGATCAACCCATTAATCAAGAGAAAACTCAAACTCTTAAGCTTTCAGCTTCATTAGGACAAGCTCAATGAATTAAATTAGGTTGGGTCTTGGGCCTTAGGCTTAAACTGAACAAATGACCTAGCCATTTCGCTGCTATGGTCAACCAATATTTTTAAGGTAGAGGCTGTATTTTACTTATTGTGTTCGTTGCTAGGGATCGGAAGTCAAGTAATTTATGGCCCCTATCCTGGAAAGGCTCACAGTCTAGTGGGACATTATACATAAATGTATAATTACAGAAAAATGATGATGCAGTAACACAAGTAAGACACTAAAGGAACAAAGAGAAGGGAGTCCTTTTCCCAACTTTGCCTGAAGTACTTGGAGGAAGGACTTTTTATGGTGGACCAGGTGGTTAGATTGAATGAGAATATTACATGTCCTTTTAGTGTTGAAAAGTATGAGGAAGGTCCTTGCTGCTGTCTCCAGTGTGTGACAAGCTCAGTTTCCCCAGGTATAACACAGATGAGTCCTTATTTCTAAACAGGACCTCTTCCCTGACCCCTGGCCTGTTCTTTTCATATTATAAACTGGACTCAGCCACCTAAAAGGAATTCCGGCTTGTCTGCCTTAGCCTCGGTTCAACTTTTTTCTGAGAGCCTGCCCTCTGGTCTGGTACTGGGACTCACAGCCCTCAGGAATTCTGTCTAGTTTCTGCTTTTTGCTTGTGGTTTCCTTTTGTGTATTATCCCTGTTTTTGCCATTTTCAGCTAGAACAGGACCACTGAGACACAGGGGTGGTACTTGGAGAGAAATGGACATAGTAATACTCCAGTTCCTCTGGCGTGGGTAATGATGAGATCTGAAGCTCTGATTTCTTCTTTCAGAGGGTGTGTGGAAGAGTGAGAAAGAAGATTATATTCTGAAGGAGGAAATTTTTGAGGAAGCACAGAACCTCATGGTGCTATCAAGTGGACCCCGGTGGTGTGGCTCCCGGGCCTTGTGGCTTAGGAAAACCTGTGAAGAGGAGAAAAGTAGTTTAGGAAGATGGCCTGGCTACCCCAGTGAGAGAAGTATGGAGAATACTACAAATGATATTATAGAAGTGATTGTCAAGGATGAGATGATCTCAGTAGAAGAGAGTTCGGAGAATACCGATAGCAATAAGCACCTTGGTATACATCAGAAAATTCTAAGTGAGCAGGTATTCTATATATGTGAAGAATGCGGCAAATGTTTTGATCAAAATGATGACTTTGATCAACACCAGAAAACTCATAGTGGGGAGAAGGTCTATGGATGTAAGGAATGTGGGAAGGCTTTTAGTTTTAGATCACATTGCATTGCACATCAGAGAATCCACCATGGGGTGAAACCCTATGAATGTCAAGAATGTGCCAAAGCCTTCGTTTGGAAGTCAAACCTGATTCGTCACCAGCGAGTACATACTGGAGAGGAACCCTTTGAATGTAAGGAATGTGGGAAGGGCTTTAGTCAGAACACAAGCCTTACACAACATCAGCGAATCCACACAGGGGAGAAACCATACACATGCAAGGAATGTGGGAAAAGCTTTACTCGAAACCCAGCCCTTCTTCGGCATCAAAGAATCCACACTGGAGAGAAGCCTTATGAATGTAAGGACTGTGGAAAAGGCTTCATGTGGAACTCAGATCTTGCTCAGCACCAGAGGGTCCACACTGGGGAGAAGCCTCATGAATGTTCTGACTGTGGGAAAAACTTCATTTGCAAGGCACACCTTATTCGACATCAAAGAATCCATACTGGGGAAAGACCTTATAAATGTAATGACTGTGGGAAGGCCTTCGGTCAGAATTCTGTCTTGATTAAGCACCAGAGGCGTCATGCCAGAGAGAAACCCTATTAAGTGCCAGACCACTCACCTTGAACATTAGGGAGTACATAATGGTGGTACTTGTTTATAATTCTTATGCTACTGGAGCCCCACAGACAAAATGAGATGACCTTCCGCCATTTGCTATAACCCTACTAGCCAGCATTATCTTGCCCTTTCTCCTGAACAGATACCATGTGCTGTAGCCAGACTAGTTCCCCTGTCCCACTGAGTTTATACTAGGCACCATTTAGTTGAGCACCTACTCTATGTCAGGTACTGTGCTAACCACTTTACATACATTCTTTAATTTTCATAACAGTCCTATTAAGGACTCATTTTACAAATGAGAAACTGAGGTTGAAAGAGATTCTAAAACCCATTCGATGTTGCTCATCTAGTAAGTTATTGAGATTGGAGCTAGGCCTGACTGCAGTCTACAGTTCTTTATTTAATTGTACGTATTTATGCCTCTCCCCATTTTTATTTGCTTAAGTTTTCCTGGGCTTTTAGTTTCTCTTCATCATCTAAGACCCAGCTCCTTCAGCTAAGCAGACCTCTTTTCCTCTTCTACTTGTAGTCAGTACCATGCAAATTAGTGTTTAATTATGTGCTGACTTATATTTTTCTACTAGTCTTATGTCTCTTAGTCTTAATGCCAGCTAAATGGCTCTTTGAGGACCAACACTGCATTTCTTTTATGTTTTTCATATTTTGAAACTTACTTAGTTTTTGACTAGATATAACGTGCTCATGGTAAAAAAAGAAAATGGAAATAATTCAAAATGGTATTCAGTGAAAAGTAAATTTCCTCGTCATTCTTGTCTCCCAAATGTCCCAGTTCTCTCCCCAGGCAATCACTGTTACTGGTTATGTATTTTTCTAGAGGTGTTCTTTCTCTATACACAAATATTTATTGCTACTGCTTTCTATAAATCTACCTCACTGAAAACCTGATTTGATCTAGGTCACATTGCAGTTACATTGCCAACTCTAGGACCTTCCCTTCCTTAGAAGTTGTGGGCCTCCTCAAGGTGAGAAGGGAACTTAGGGAAAGCAGCAGAGAGTAGTCCATGTTGTGTGATCTTGGGAGACCCAGTTGCTCTTGTGTTATGACACAGCACTCTGGGATTGGGAAAATATGTACCCAGTGAGAGGTTTTTGGTTTTTTTTTTTTTTTTAATAAAAATTTGTATAGCTACAGCCCCTCATTGTACCTAAAGCTTCTCTGAATCTATCCCCAACTCACCATCTTAGTAGCCTATATCCCAAATTAAGTTGTGAAGCCATCACTAACAGAGGGAGAACAGGTCACTTTCTGGTTATGGTCAGTGCTCTGTTAGGTAGCCGCATCCAGTCAGTAGTAGAAAAATTGCCACATGATCCACTATCTTGGCATTGGAGTCACAAATGCCTTGGTCCAGCATCAAAGATAAAACAAATGCTGGGAACACGTAGCTCCTACACAGGAAAGTAAGGAATTCAAAAATTAGCTAACTCTGCATGAATCAGGAGTCTGTAAGACAATATTTTTAAAAGAGGATGCAAGCCATTAATGCTATTATAATTATGAAGACAGGATATTAGTGAGTGGTACTAACCATCTTAAAAGTTTAGAGGACCAGAGGCTCTATTTAGGGGAGAAGAAAGCTGACCAAAACAGATCTGAAACATCCATTCCAGACACTTTACCTTTAGGACTGTTTTTTTCAGATAGTGCAGTTTGCTTCACTTTATATCCCACTTTAAAGCTCCCAGCCAATTAAGGTAACATCTAATAAGCAGTAAGAAGTTTGTTGTGTACCATATGGAACCAGGAAATTGAAATTACTTATGTGAACAGGTGTTGGGGAAGTTTTTTATTAAGCAAATGTTAGTGAGCAACTACTCATATGCAAAGCACTATGCCACATGCTGGGTAAACAATAAGTTAGATCTGGTCCTTGTCTTCCTGGAACGTTTAGCCTAATGAGAAAAACTGACCAAAAATATTAAGTAAACAAAAATTTAAAAAATTGCCATGAAGGGAATGAACAAGGTTCCAAGAAAAAGAATGATGGGGAAGGGGCCCACTTTATATAGATGGCCTATTCTAAGAGGAAACGTTAAAGCTAAGACTTGAAGGATGAGAAAGAGCCACTTGTATCAGGAATGGGAAGAGCAGTAGGCAGAGGAAACAGCTGTGCAGACACCCTGATGTTTGAAGGATCATCAAGAAGCCAGAAGGGTTTGGCTACAGTATGATGCTCCAGGGTGGTGTGTGCAGAACACGTTGGGTTTGAAGAGATAGGTGGGCCAGATCATTCCCTCCTAAGTAAAAAGAAGGCATGGAAGGGTATCCAAAGGACGAGTGACATGTTCAAGTCACACTTTAAGATGGTCACTCTAACTGCTAGGTAGAAAATGGTTTATAAAGGGACAAGTGTGAAAGGAGAGATCATGCTGGAGACTGTGACAGCAGTCCAGGTTGGAGACGATGGTGGCCTGGAGAGGCTGGTGGAAATGCAGATGGAGAGAAGTAGATGATATTAAGATATGTTATGGAAATAAAATCTGTGACCTGCTAGACAATCGGATATAAGAAATAACTGACAGGAATTGGAGATGGCTTTCTGATTTCTGGCTTGAGCAGCTGAGTGAACAGTGGTGCCAATGACTGGAATAGATAAGACTAGAAGGGGACTAGGCTTGGGAGGGGAGAAATCTAGAACTCCTATTTGGCTTAACGCATTTGAGATCTGTGTGAGGTGTGCTAGTGGGAATTTCAAGTTGCCAGTTGTATATTATGGGCTGGAGCTCTGGTTAGCTATGACTGGAGCTGTGCATTTGGAAGTTATTAAGTGAGAAGAGTACATTTAAATCCATGTAAAGAAATAAATGAAATCCCCTAGAGAGTGGGCATGAATAAAGTCCTCTGCAGCTGCACTGTCCAACAGAGTAGCCACTAGCCAATGTGGCTATTTAAATTAAATGAAGAATTTAGTTTCTTAGTCACACTGGCCACATTCTGAATACACAATACTCATTAAACACTTACTCTCCATTTCCCCCAACTCCCGGCTTCTGGCAACTGCCATTCTGCCTCTGTCACTATGAATTTGATTACTCTAGGAAATTCATGAGAAGAATCTTACAATACTTGTCCTTTGTGACTGGTTTGTTTCATGTAGCATATCTTTAAGCTTCACCCATGTTGTAGCAAGTGTCAAAATTTCCTTTATTTTTAAGGCCAACTAATATTCCATTGTATGTATATACCACATTTTATCCACTCATCTGTCAATGGCCACTTGGGTTGTTTCCGCCTTTTGGCTATTGTGAATAATGCTGCTATGAAAGGGACCAGATACCTCTAGCATCACTTCTTTTGGGCATATACCCAGAAGAAGATCATGTGGTAATTCTGTGTTTAAGTTTTTGAGAAATCACCATATTGTTTTCCACAGAGGCTGTATTTTTCTTTGCCACCAGCAACACGCAAGGGTTCCAATTTCTTCACATCTTCACCATCACTTGTGTTTTTTTTAAATAATCCTCCTAATGGGTGTAAAGAGCTATGTATTTATCTTTCAAATCATATAGAAAATTAAATATCACTACAAATAAAAATTATAATCATACTTGCATTTATTATTGCCCTTGTACTTACCTTTCTCAGTGATCTTTATTTCTTCATACAGCTTTGAGTTACTATCTAGTTTCCTTGTTTTAATCTGAAGGACTCTCTTTAGAATTTCTTGTATAGCAGGTGTCTTAGCCCATTTAGCGCTGTTGTAACAGAATATGACAGACTGGGTAATTTGCAGTAAACAGAAATATATTTGGCTAATGGTTCTGGAGGCTGAGAAGTGTAAGACTGAGGGGATGCATCTTGTGAGGGCCTTCTTGCCGCATCGCAACACAGTGGAAGGCAGTGCATGGCAAGACAGGGCAAGAAAGGCCTGAACTCACTTTTTTTTTGAGACAGGGTCTCCCTCTGTCACTGAGGCTGGAGTGCAGTGGCATGATCATAGCTCACTGTAACCTCAAACTCCTGGGTTCAAGTGATCCTCCTGCCTCAGCCTCTGAAGAAGCAGGGACTATAGGTGTGCACCACACCAAGCTATTTTTTTTTTTTTTTTTTTTAGAGATGGGGTCACAGTGAACCTGGGTGCTCAAGTTGATCTGAAACTCCTGAACTCAAGCAATCCTCCAACCTCGGTCTCCCAAAGTGCTGGGATTCCAGGAGTGAGCCATCATGCCCGCTGTGAACTCACTTTTATAACAAACCCACTCTTGCAATAATAAACCCACTCCTGTGATAACATTAATCCATTAATCACTTCTTAAAGGTCTCACTTCTCAACACGGTTGCACTGAGGATTAAGTTTCCAACACATTTAGGGACACATTCAACTATAGCATCAGGTCTAGTGGTAACAAACTCTCTCAGTTTTCATCGTTCATTTCTGAAGGACAGTTTTGCCAGATACATAATTCTCAATTGACAGGTTTGGGGTTTTGTTTTTTGTTTTCCTTCCTCTCGGCACTTTGTATATATCAGCGCACTGCCTTGGGCCTCCGTGGTTTCTGGAGAAATCAGTTGATAATCTTACTGAGGATCCCTTGCATGTGACAAGGCATTTCTCTCTTGCTCCTTTCAAGCTTCCCTCCTTGTCTTTGACTTTTGACAGCTTGATTATAATGTGTTTCAGCTTGGGTCTCTTTGACTTTATCTTACTTGGAGTTTGCTAAGCATCTGGAATTTGTACATCCATATCTTTCATTGAATTTGGGAAGTTTTCAGACATTATTTCTTCAACTAGTCTTTCTGCCCCTTTCTCTCTTTCCTTCTGGGATTCACATTATGCATATGTTGGTCTGTTTGATGGTATTCCACAGGTCCCTTAGACTCTGTTCACTTTTCTCCATTCTTTATTCTTTCTGTTCATTCAATAGTTTCTATTGTCCTATCTTTAAGTTTTCTGATTCTTTTTCTGCTTGCCTAAATCTATTTTTAACCCCTTCTAGTGTATTTTTCCCTTTAGTCACTGTACTTTTCAGCTCCAGAATTTCTTTTTGGTTCCTTTTTATAATTTGTCTCTTTATTGATACTCTGATTTTGTTCACACATTGTTTTTGTCTTTGCCCATGTCTTCCTTTAGCTCTCTGGGCATCTTTAAGACAGCTGTTCTAAAGTCTTTGTCTATTAAGTCCAGTGTTTGAGCTATCTGAAATATATTTGTTGTTGTCTTATATAGTTCCTTTGAATGAGCCATACTTTCCTGTTTCTTCATATGCCTTATGATTTTTGGTAGAAACTGGACATTCGAATCTTATGTTGTGATAAATATAGAAATCATATTCTCCCCCTCCATCCAGAATTTGATTTTTTATTGTTCAGGGTGTCTCTGTGCTGGAGATCAACCTGAAGTAAAGGGTTAAGGTCTTCTCAGGTCTTTTCTGGGTCTGTGTCTTTCCCTGGGTATGCATGGTAGCTTTCTAAATTTTCCCATATATGAAGTTGTTTTTTTAGTGTAAATATGCAGGTTTTTTTAAATGTAAAAACAAACAAAAAAGCCAAAGGTGCAACTCCTTTAAATGTCCTGGAGACTGCTTCAGCCAATGGTGATGAAACAATGACAGCCAGCCTCTCTGACTACACCTCTTTGATTAGAAACAACTACCAGCATTTACAACATAGAACTCCCCAATATTTGGAGGAAAAGGTCCTTATTTCCCACTCTGGCTGCAGCAAGCCATGCCAGAAACATGCCATAGCTACACGTCATGGGAATGGGGAATGGATAGTCACTACCACGCTAAAGGCTGAATTGACCAATATTAGCCACAATTTACCAGCCAAGCTTTCCTCTGGAAGCTGCCGCATTCAGATAGAATCCAGAATTCCAAAATCATCACTTCAGACAGTTCTGCTGGTACAATTGTTGTCTATGTGGAGATATGGATTCCTGGTGCTTCTGGCTCCACCAGCTTCTCTGACATCACCATGGGACCTGCCTTCCAACATACTCCTAAAATTATTTTGCCCAGACACTGTGTCTTCATCCTCAGCCCCACTTAAAATGCACTTA